CATGACATGTGAACAATCACATGTCAAGGAAGTCAAAAACTATGGTTGGATTTCAATGAAAAATGATCAAAACGATGTTTTTAACCTTTTTGGGGCAATTTTTTTTTATATGAAGCGTGCCACTGTACAGAGCCGAGTTTGATCACTGTTTGTACTATATTTTGTTCTAATTACTTCAATTTTTACTCTGTTTTATTTTGAAAAAGAACAATGCAAGTGAGCTCTCGCTGGAGATGCTTTAAGGGTGTGTTTGGAAAATTGCCGCGCATGGAATTGAAAACTATTGTCTTAAAAAACTGTTGCATCTGGAGGCGGGTAAAATGTATATGAAATTCTTTGAAGCATCAGCTGCTGGGGACAGTTTTTTTTTTTACTTGGAAACTGCTAACCAAACACAGCCTAAAGAGAGCGTGTCAAATTCTCAAATTTCCAAAAACGGTAGAAAAGAGGAAAAACTGAATTAAGATTTGGATTGCATAACTAACGAGGAAAAGACACCAAGAATTGTTAGGTAATCCAGAAATTAGTCTGAATCTTCCCAACTAAAAAGGATAAACAACATCCCCACCCTATAATCCCACTGTTTCTTGTTAACACTTCTGCTGGAGAAACAATTAACGAACGGTATGGGGGAAAGTGAAATGCAGAATCCTGTTTTGCAGTCTGGACTGCAAAATAGGATTCTCTTATATATATTGCACTTCACGTAAAAATTTGCTGCATTTATCATCTTTACACTTTGAAAGTTAGCAGAGGAAAGGAGAGTATAGCAAAGATGATAAAGGTTGTGATGGTGATGAACAAGCAGGGCAAGATTTCGTCTGGCCAAATTCTACGATTATCAGGTTTTCTTTCTCTCAACTGAAATTCTACTCTTGTTAATTGTGTTTCATGGAAATCGCGATTCATGATTTCCGAATTCCGCGGCAATAATTGTTCATTTGTTCTCGCTCGAATTTTTTGAGTTCAGCTTATGGAGAAGCACCAAGAGCTTATTCGCGGCGTCTTTTCAGGTTCCTCTTTCTGTTTCTTTTAATCAAATTGAGATTTGTTTGGATCAGAAAAGGCCTTTAATTATTGGCTTATTTGGCGGATTCATGTGTAATTTCGTTGCTATTTCTTTTGAATCGTGCTTTATCTTTGCTATGGTATTTTTGCTTCCACTTGCGATTTTGATCTTTTCAGTCTTGTGCAGTAGAGCTGAGAACGTAGGCAATTTCGTGCAGGCTGATTCCATGTTTGGTTCGGTAATCTCTTTTGAACTTTCATTTTTTCTGGTACTAATCTAGTTATTAATGTAAATGCTTTTCTTTTGATTTCCATTTTGAAGTTAAGGAAATGCAGATGTAGAAGTCTGACTTGCTTCCAAATAATTGTCGCCATTGTTAGACTTATGAATTAGTTGTGGTTGTCTGACTGTGATGCATCTTTCATCTTCGTGAAATTGAAGATGTTGATTCCTTTATTATGATTGATCGCCTTTTTATGTTTTAACATTTTCATTTTTGCAATTATTGTTTCACGTTTGTTTTGAATTTGATAATCGTAATTAGAGTTGAGACAAATCTTTTGGTTGCTTCAGCTTTACAGTAGTTGCTCTGCCATAGATTTCTCTTCAATTTCATTTTTTCAATTTTGCTTGCTGGATAGGGATAGCCGCCTTGGGCGCACGAACTTTGCAACTTTCTACTTTGTCTTTGTATTTGGTAGTTCAGAAAATGAGCTAGCAATGCTTGACTTGATACAAGGTATGTTATGTTCTTGTGTGTTTCGTATTCAGCAAAACTAAGCTTTAGAAGAAGTTTTTGCAAATTTCTGTACTAAGTATACCATTCTGATGGTTAAGAGTTTTATTCATATTGGACAGCTTTTTATTTGTTTTGAAGGTTCTTGTAAGATCTTTTGTGTTAAGTATATTTTCAAGAAGAAAGGAGATTGTTAAGTTGCATGTGCCATGCTCATATAGCTTTCAATTGCTTGCATAATTTAAGTCTTCAGGACCTCTGTTGAGTCACCCAAGATTAGTACCGTATCTTTCTTCATTAGTGTTACCATGTCAATCACCTAGTTAAGTGCACCAGGACCTGTTCAGACCAATAACATTTCTAAATGTTAACTTCTATATATCCATATCATTTTGCAATCACCCCTCAAACAATATGGTGAATGACTCCATGACTCCTTAAATTCTGTCTTTATTGACAGGACAAGACCATTGGCGTTTCCTTTTTCTTTTGGCGGCAGACAATTAGTATTTCATGCACTTTTTTTATGTACTAAGGAGCTGAACATTGCAATAAATGTTCCTTTATTTTAAATATTGGATAATGTGCTTACTTTAACTATGATGCTTCCAGTTTTTGTTGAAACATAGGACAAATGCTTCAAGAATGTATGCGAGCTTGACATTGTGCTCAATTACGCAAATGCTTCAAATGCTGTCACACTTGCTCCAAAGTCTGTCTCTTGTTGGCGTTGGAAGCAGTACCACAACATTCAAAAGTGAGTTAAAACCATCTCGCATTTTGAATGTTAAGCAGTCCTAAAATTTGTTGTGTCCACTAAATTAGATAAAGCGTGACTTTTAGTGATCTGTGATGGTGATCAAGTGCTGTATATGGGTGTGATATTTGAGCAAAGAAAAGTGGTTTCTTTTTTTCTTTTTTTTTTTTTTTACTGGCACAGTCTATGCAGGAGCCCATTATTTTCATCTTGAGTAGCCTGGGTATGCATCATCCAGGGTGCTCTTTTGCACCCTTATAAACTAGATTTTATTTTATGCAAATAGCATATTTTCTCTGGGAAATCTAAGATGGGAATTGGATTGTAGAGCAATAACTTACTACATATTTGCTTTCGAATCGTTTAGAGCATATCAGCCGAGCTCCTTCCCCTGTAATCGCTTTTCCAACCTTATGAATAGGCAAGAATGTCGTGCCACCATTAAACTGGAGGCATCACGAACATAGGGAGTTTTTTTATTTTCTCATGCAAATAGATGTTACAATGAACCCACGGAAAAAGAAGTGAGATGGTTGCTTATGATGCATCAAACCTCAACATGAGAAATATATTAACTGAATGATCCATTTTTTTATTTGATTCCATTGGAAGTATATGATCCTTTTACTACAGAGTGCATCAACCGGACTAAAAGGAAGATGAAACACTGGACCATGGAGATATCATCAGGAATGCATCTTTACATAATTTTATGTTCTCTTAAAATCTTTAAGCGCTATTCGTGCAGCATTACGACCAGGTGCACCCATAACACCCCCACCTGGATGTGCTCCACTCCCACACAAGTATAGCCCTGGTAACGGAGTCCTGTAATTTGACCTGTATCCACCGGCAAAAATAATTACAGTAAGATCAATATAGGTAATAAAATTATTCTATCAATTATGAAACATGTATCTTATTTACCATCCTTTGACAGGTCGCATGAGAAAGAGGGAATCTAATCCCATTGCACCGTGAAAGATATTTCCTCCTGTAAACAATAATTAGTGACTAAATTAAAGGATTCCAATAAGAAATGGAATGTGCTGATACTGGACCAGGAAAAAGGTAATTTTTCTTTTTCTAGAAAAGGAGATTTTGTTACACTGTTAATTTTGCAATTTTAAAGTCTCACCAACAGGGAAAGATGTTTAAAAATGACAAGGTGTAGAAAGTGGTAACAAAAAGTTAAGCAGAAATCGTGGGGGATGGGGTAGATTTTTTTGGATCAAGGGGATAGACTGCTAATGTGTTCAATTAAGGAGTGCTACAATTTACCTGTAGAAGAATGATCAATTTAAACCGTATCAGAAACCATCAAGTTATCAAACTAATCTGATCAATGCCCAAAATTATACCTGTTAGGCCTATTTCCCTCTCGAGGTCTGGGGGAGTTAGCATGTCATAGCCTATTATTGACGAGCTGAAGCCAGAAGCATATTCATCTATCAAAGCGAAACATCTTTTTGCAAATGATTCCTAGGAAAACAAAAGGATAATAGTAAGAACTTCCAAGCTGTGATATCAGAATTCTGTAATTAATCTATGCTGGACAATATTGGACTAAGCAGTGAAGTGTAGATAAAGAAGAACCAGTTACAAGTAAAATTCTCAATTCTATGCATGGTAACCAAAATTTGTAAGCGAATTCATCTTTAGTTGAAATTCTACTCACTCTATAGGAAGGATCTTCCCAACTGCCATCCAATGGTTTGTAAGGGGTGTATTGAATAAACAAATTAATCACATGCTTACCTACAAAGAGAAATTTAAGCATCTATAAATGCAATACAATAAACTATAAAATCTCAAGCAAATAATGGTTGACATACTGATCCAATATAAGCTCAATCATTTATTGGATCTGCTTTCAGTTTTTTCAGGATAAAATATCATAAACGATTAGAAGACAAGATTCAATAACAAGAACAAAGAAAAACAAAAGAAAACTAATAAATGTTAATGGCAAAACTTTGGGTACCAGCTGGAGAAATAGTCTTATCCAGTACAGATGGAATTGTCATTTCAATGACTGGCCTTTGCGATGGTAATCCATTGACAGCATCTTGACAGGCTGAGTCAATCTCCTCAATACTAAAAGAAAGGTGATAAAGAGCATGATCTTCCAATTCAGGGTGTTAAAAAATAAAAATAATGATAAAGATTAGATTATGTTGCTCAATGAATCTCTAACATTCCCTATAACCATCTATCATTATTATGTCCAAAGATTCTGTTAAAAAAATTACATGTTAAATAGGTTATCAACTATTTCAGACAATTTTAGTGATATGTAATGAACAACAAATACAAGATAATGAAATGAAGCCATTTGAATGCATGAATGATGCTTAACTCAAAGTCATGGCATACCTCTCAGAGCCAAGATGAATGGTACCAACATGTTGGGGACCTGCCTCATGATGACTCAACTTGCAACAACCAAACTCAGGTAATTTATCAACAGCAAGGTTTATTTTTGTAGTTCCCTGTTGTAATAAAATGACATGCAGAACAGATCAGTGAAGTATCAGGAGGTCTTGCTCTGCATTTTGTTACTGCTTCTCCATGGCTTCATTTTTTGTCTCATCAATACCAGGATTTAAAACCATGGTAAACTAAGAATTTCCTACATTAATATAGTATACTTCCAGAGATTATTTCCACTTAATTTGTTATGGAGGAAAAAGATTAAAACCTTCCACTTGTTAGACATGAGGAGAATATTACTTCTTTTAGTCTGACAGAAATAAAAACCATATTAAAAGTGATTCTCCAGAAAATATGTTCATACAATCTATGAAGTTGCATTCCACATTCCTTATCAACAGAAACTAAATTGCAAAAGGTTGCCACAAGTAATCAATATGTTATAAGCTTACATGATAGGACAGAAAGATACCAACAAAAATGTGTAGCATGATAGAAAGTATACTTACTGAGCTGTAATCAGAATACTTAATCGCACGGACAAAATCATCGGGAAGAACATTACTGGGCACTAACTCCTGTATTAGAAAAATCATCGAGATTAAAATTGATTTAGAGAGTTAAGAGGCTAAATGTGATGTTCCCTATTTAATGTTGATATCACTAATTATCAACTTCTAGTGACATAAAATTGAATCAGCGGACAGAAATTATAAAATTTACCATGAAAGTTTTGTAAGGTGTGGCATTTGATAAAACAATTGAAGATTGCACCCGTGTACCATCAGCCATCAATACCTGAAACATCTAGTTAGTTTAATTCAAGCTTCATTATATGTTGCACCGCGGTGGTAGTACTTACTCCATTTACTATGCCAGAATCCTCCATCATCAGTTCTGAAACCTAACAACCAAAAATTATTCAATGGGGAAGTGAATAGTAACTCCATAAGTACTGAGACAAACAATTTAAACAACTTAAGAAACCAATGAAGGTAAAAGTTTCGAATGAAGGCATTGTGATGATAGCATCATAATTCTCTGTTGTCTGACTGAACAAAATAAGATTCAAAAAATCCAATGCAGCAAAAGTGACATTAATTCAAATATAATTTTATCTCGGTTGCTGAAATCTGCTGACGATTTCAATGGTATCCATTGTTTTAAGTGACTTGAACCTTCTCTAATTAAACTTTCAATATTTCCAACAATTTCCAATGTAGATCATCATGACTGATGGCAGTTACAATCTAATAAGATATCAATAAATAGCCATATAGATAAGATATATTTAATCATTTGGAGAGAAGTTATCCAGACAAAGATACCTCAGCACTTGTTACAATATGAGCCCCTGCTTCTTTAGCAGCATTGCCAATAGCCTTTGATACTGAGCCCATTCCACCTTCAACATATCTACAAAAGTTTTAGCTCTCAAGAATGCTAGTTTCCTATGAGAGAGCATATAGCATGCAATGCCAAAATCCATGTTGGAGTAAATTTAAAATTTGTGGTTCACTGTAATTAAAGTTCAATGTTTACATGAAAAGATCAGACTCAAATCTGGGAATAATGATCATAGCATAAGTGAAAAGTGAATTAGAATGAAATCTCAAAAAAGAAATGACCATTAAGCATGAAGGATCCAAATGAATTTTGTTACTAACATGTAGCTAAAGTTGAACATATGTAAGTATCATTTCGTAATTTGGAAGAAAATGCCAACTATTTTTCTTTCACTGCAGAGTGTTTAGGAACATTACTATATTAATTGCTCAACCGTGTAACAGGTGGGAAGTGGCTGCCTGTAAAGACAAATAAAATTTCTAAAGAACAGAATGAATAGTGGGTTAATGCACAATTTAATGGCTAGCAAATCCAGAACTAGCATACATACGACCATATTCCACAATCACCATCAGTTTCTCCCATCACATGATGCAGCAAAACATATCCACTCCCTGGTGTTGAGGCACTAGCCTACAATACAGAAGGAAAGAAGCCCAAAATGATCTATCAGTTCTCATAACATTGTCAAAAGAAGGATTCTTTTACTGAATCTCTAATCATATGACATTGTAATAACACCACCAATCCTGACAACCGCCCTTCAAATGCAAACTGCATGGTACTAGTTCCTGGCACCTTAGGGTACCATGTACATGATTTGTGCATGACCATTCCTAAAGTCACTCATATCTCAAATTGATAAATCTCCTTTCAATGAAGCACTTACCGTACTCCCTATTACAGCATCAGTTGCAAGAGTTGCCTTTAGAACATCTGTCTGTATAATAATCAACGACAAGTTTAGGCCGACAAACACAAAAACTTCTTTATGCATGTGGTTATGCTCAAAAGTATCTAGAAATTTTAAAGACCAGTCATCAGAAAAATATTTAGTAACACTGAGCTTGAGGAAGTAATGAAATAAATCAAACATTGATAATGAAACAAAGAAAACTAAAGAAAATTGTTGACCATTACAATTGTGAAGTTAATAGGATAGAACGTGCAAAGAAAGCCGATTAAATGACTACCTCAAACCAGTTATTCAAAACCTTAGAAGCCGGCGACAATAAAAGTTCCATAAAATCCCTGTCACAAAATAAATAGAAACACATGATGTAAGTAAGGTTCAAACCAAACTAAAGATCCAGCCACTGACTAAACAAAGGTAAGTATCCCTATCATGTCACCTTTTCGCTTAATAATAACAATAAACACCATTCATTCATTCATAGCTGAAACAATAATGAAACCTCTTCAGATTAGGTAAGAAGCTCTTACACCATGTCTTTCTGTCCCAAAGAAATAGCCTGCCGCAGTAACCGAGCCCAAAAGGCAGACTTGGATATTTTATCCTGGAACCGATCTTTGACAGATGAAATACCTTGCAAAGATTCAGGAGTTGGTGAATCCAGAAGTGGATCCATGAATTTACAGAAGTTCTCTAACTGATTCTCATATCTGTGAATCAGAATATAAAGCACATGAAACAAACATGGAAAACAACTGTTCATGCACATCATCAACCACAAAATCACATACAATGCAGATTATCAATTGAATCGGAAGATGAATGAGGAGCAATAAGCACCTTGGATAAGCATCCGCATCTCGTTTGGAGAACTTGGAAATCTCAGAATGATTGAGCTCCTTATCAGGTCCTAATAGAAGATACCTTCCATCCAAACAAGGCGTAAACGAAGACGGACTCCTCTTCAACAGCTTCAATCCATGTCTAGGTAGGTCGAGTTCTCTGCAGAAAGAAAAACTAAATGATGAAGAATTTAATCAAAATCAAAGAAACGTTACCTAAAATACAAGATTTAGGCTAAGACCTGATGATGGAGGGGCGTAAAAGGCTCTGGAGGTAGCTACAGCGAGAGAACTTGAAGCCAGGGATTAGTTCTTCGGTTACTGCTGCGCCGCCGATGACATGGCGGCGCTCGAGCACGGCAACAGAAAGGCCGCCGCGAGCAAGGTAAGCGGCGGCCGTCAAGCCGTTGTGGCCGCCTCCTATCACCAGCGCATCCCATTTTTTCTCCTTCAGCACGCGCATCGCGTCCGAGTTGCTTCTGGTGCTGAAGCTGAAGCTCCTCCGCCACATTAGCGCCGTAACTGTCACCGTGACTGTACCTCCGCTCGGTGAAGAGGAGCGTCCAGGACATCGGCGAATGAGAATCGGAGAGGTTAGTGAGATTGAAGTGGGACCCAAGTGAGAATCTGGACAACAGGGTCCCCGGCTTTCGGCTTTTGGTTTTTTTTTTTTTTTTGGAACTTTGGGCATGGCCTTTTTTAAACATTTATTGGGCCCAGGATAGAAACCGTGTCCAAATCTGGACCTAAAGAGGTTCTGCTCTGACGGGGGTGGACAAAAGGAAGAGTTCCATGACAAGGCTAAAGGGCTTGGGCCTGTCAGATGGTCTGCGTTGTAATCCTTTAGCTCCTCTCTTTTTCTTTTTTCTTTTCTTTTTTTATTTGAGTTGCATAATAAAATATGACCATTTCTTCTCACTTTAACTTAACTTACACAATAAAATATAACTCTATCTACTAAAGTTAATTCAATTATATAATATACTATTCAAATATAAAACTTCTTATTTTTTTTTAAAAAATATTATTTCTAGACTAGTTTACTTTGTTGACTCTAACTTATCTCTTTTGTTTGTGTTTAGTATATGTCATTGTGATAAATTTGTTTATATATATATATATGAAAATCAACCAAACTTCTAAATCTTAAAACTATACCATTTCAATAAATTTTATTTAAAAAAACTAAAATAATATATTCTTAAACCAAAAACAATGTAATTGTGGAATATTTTTCTCCCTAATTTTTTTTTGAGTTTCCATTTACAAACACTAATGTATATATTTAAAAAAAGAAAAAGAAAAAAGAAAAAGATAATGCGTATCAATTCAACTTCATGAAATTTCAATTCAAAAACATCATCCCAATAAACATTTTGAAAAACATACCATTGGATTTCATGTTTTAATTTTAGAAATCATATATGTTAACTTTTAAATTGATTATATAAAAATTTTAAAAAGTTAAATATATTTTAGAAATATAGTTTCGTGATAACCATTATATATATGAAATCAATCTAAAAATTAATGTACATGATTATTTGATCTATCAATTTCAAAATATTCATTAAAAGATAAAGGTTTTGAATTAAGGCTTAATAAAATCAAAACTAATATATACTATTTTATTTTTAATAATAAATATTCAATTTCTTATTTTTTTTAAAAAAAATATTCACCTTCTTATTTAAAAAATTTACATGATAAAAATTTACCAAGTAGGGGTTATAAAATCATCATAAAAA